AGTGATAACTAAAGAACCCTTAGGCCTAGGAACTTCAAACTTGGTATGGTGAATTGGTCATGACCAGTAGATGACCCCTATTGATTTTGGGTCAAGGGGTCAAAGGGTCAAGGTCGCATTGACCTTGAAAGCAAAAACGGTTTCCGATCAATAACTAAAGAACCTTAAGGCCTAGGAACTTCAAACTTGGTATGGTGATTTGGTCATGACGAGTAGATGACCCCTATTGATTTTGGGGTCAAGGGGTCAAAGGTCAAGGTCAACATTGACCTTGAAAGCAAAAACGGTTTCCGATCAATAACTAAAGAACCTTAAGGCCTAGGAACTTCAAACTTGATATGGTGATTGGTCATGATCAGTAGATGACCCCTATTGATTTTAGGGTCAAGGGGTCAAAGGTCAAGGTCACATTGACCTTGTAGGTAAAAACGGTTTCCGATCAATAACTAAAGAACCTTAAGGCCTAGGAACTTCAAAACTTGGTATGGTGATTAGTCATGATCAGTAAATGACCCCTATTGATTTTGGGGTCAAGGGGTCAAAGGTCAAGGTCACATTGACCTTGTAAGTAAAAACGGTTTCTGATCAATAACAAAGAACCCTTAGGCCTAGGAACTTCAAACTTGGTATGGTGATTGGTTATGACCAATCAGATGACCCCCTATTGATTTTGGGGTCAAGGGGTCAAAGGTCAAGGTCACATTGACCTTGTAAGTAAAAAACGGTTTCTGATCAATAACAATAGAACCCTTAGGCCTAGGAACTTCAAACTTGATATGGTGATTGGTTATGACCAATCAGATGACCCCTATTGATTTTGGCGTTAAGGGGTCAAAGGTCAAGGTAACATTGACCTTGTAGGTAAAAACGGTTTCCGATCAATAACTAAAGAACCCTTATACCTAGGAACTTCAAACTTGGTATGGTGATTGGTCATGACCAGCAGATGACCCCTATTGATTTTGGGGTTAAGGGGTTAAAGGGCAAGGTCACATTGACCTTGTAGGTAAAAATGCTTTCCGATCAATAACTTAAGAACCCTTATACCTAGGAACTTCAAACTTGGTATGGTGATTGGTCATGACCAGCAGATGACCCCTATTGAGTTTTAGGTGAAGGGGTCAAAGGTCAATGTCACATTGACCTTGTAAGTAAAAACGGTTTCTGATCAATAACTCAAGAACGCTTAGGCCTAGGAACTTCAAACTTGGTATGGTGATTTGTCATGACCAGCAGATTACTCCTTTTGATTTTGGGATCAAGGGGTCAAAGGTCAAGGTCACAATGACCTTGTAAGTATAAAAAGTTTCTGATAAATAACTAAAGAACGCTTCGGCCTAGGAACTTCAAACTTGGCATGGTGATTGGTCATGACCAGCAGATGACCCCTGTTGATTTTGGGGTCAAAGGTCAAGGTCACATTGACCTTGTAAGTAAAAACGGTTTCTGATCAATAACAAAAGAACCCTTAGGCCTAGGAACTTCAAACTTGGTATGGTGATTGGTCATGACCAGTAGATGACCCCTATTGATTTTGGGGTCAAGGGGTCAAAGGTCAAGGTCGCATTGACCTTGAAAGCAAAAACGGTTTCCGATCAATAACTAAAGAACCTTAAGGCCTAGGAACTTCAAACTTGGTATGGTGATTGGTCATGACGAGTAGATGACCCCTATTGATTTTGGGGTCAAGGGGTCAAAGGTCAAGGTCACATTGACCTTGAAAGCAAAAACGGTTTCCGATCAATAACTAAAGAACCTTAAGGCCTAGGAACTTCAAACTTGATATGGTGATTGGTCATGATCAGTAGATGACCCCTATTGATTTTAGGGTCAAGGGGTCAAAGGTCAAGGTCACATTGACCTTGTAGGTAAAAACGGTTTCCGATCAATAACTAAAGAACCTTAAGGCCTAGGAACTTCAAACTTGGTATGGTGATTAGTCATGATCAGTAAATGACCCCTATTGATTTTGGGGTCAAGGGGTCAAAGGTCAAGGTCACATTGACCTTGTAAGTAAAAACGGTTTCTGATCAATAACAAAAGAACCCTTAGGCCTAGGAACTTCAAACTTGGTATGGTGATTGGTTATGACCAATCAGATGACCCCTATTGATTTTGGGGTCAAGGGGTCAAAGGTCAAGGTCACATTGACCTTGTAAGTAAAAACGGTTTCTGATCAATAACAATAGAACCCTTAGGCCTAGGAACTTCAAACTTGATATGGTGATTGGTTATGACCAATCAGATGACCCCTATTGATTTTAGCGTTAAGGGGTCAAAGGTCAAGGTAACATTGACCTTGTAGGTAAAAACGGTTTCCGATCAATAACTAAAGAACCCTTATACCTAGGAACTTCAAACTTGGTATGGTGATTGGTCATGACCAGCAGATGACCCCTATTGATTTTGGGGTTAAGGGGTTAAAGGGCAAGGTCACATTGACCTTGTAGGTAAAAATGCTTTCCGATCAATAACTTAAGAACCCTTATACCTAGGAACTTCAAACTTGGTATGGTGATTGGTCATGACCAGCAGATGACCCCTATTGAGTTTTAGGTGAAGGGGTCAAAGGTCAATGTCACATTGACCTTGTAAGTAAAAACGGTTTCTGATCAATAACTCAAGAACGCTTAGGCCTAGGAACTTCAAACTTGGTATGGTGATTTGTCATGACCAGCAGATTACTCCTTTTGATTTTGGGATCAAGGGGTCAAAGGTCAAGGTCACAATGACCTTGTAAGTATAAAAAGTTTCTGATAAATAACTAAAGAACGCTTCGGCCTAGGAACTTCAAACTTGGCATGGTGATTGGTCATGACCAGCAGATGACCCCTGTTGATTTTGGGGTCAAAGGTCAAGGTCACATTGACCTTGTATGTTAAAACGGTTTCCGATCAATAATAAGAGAACCCTTAGGCCTAGGAACTTCAAACTTGGCATGGTGATTGGTCATGACCAGCAGATGACCCCTATTGAGTTTTGGGTCAAGGGGTCAAAGGTCAAGGTCATGACCAGTAGATACTTTATAACCCTTATTAATTGTTTGATCACTGGGTCAGAAGTCATGCATAATAACCTTATCACATGACTAATTGGCTGCTGATAGGGGGCATACATGTTTTACAAACATATCTTGTTTACTATAACTTTTTTAGTTTTAAAGGTATCTACCTCAAACTTCAAATACTTATTCCTTATAATCAATTATATTTTATGTGACAATGTTCATAACTCTTGAAGTAATTTTTACAGATTTATCTCTCTTTGAACTTAGGATTTTCTTTAAGAAATATTATAACTTTGTTACTTTTTAAGGTATCTACTTCAAACTTCAAATATATACTTCTTATCATTACATACATGTTGTGTGACAAGGTTCATAACTCTAGCGTGACTATTTCTGGAATTATTTTCCTTGATCTTGGAATTTATTTTAACAAATGTTATTTTTTTACTATAACTTAATTAATACATAATTATACATAATTGATTTTTCTTTCATAGTTTTGTCCTTACTGCGTCCAGTATTTTATTAGTCGAGCTTGGCTGTCTCCTGTGACAGCTCTTGTTTCCAATCTTTGTTAAATTCTCTTTTGACTGTGATCTTAACTGCTGTACACAATTAACATACATTTGTTAAAAAAAAATATTGATTCTATGATATACATGTATATTTGCCAAATGAAAATAAAAAGCTTATATTTAAGCTCAATTGTGTTTTTTTGTTAATTGGAATGAAAAAATCAAAGTAAAATGTTTTATTAGAAGAAAAATTAAAGGTTAATTTATGTCGGTATGACACCGGCTTCAAATCGATCTAATGATATACAGCCGATATCGGCCCGACTTGTAGCCGGGTTGCACATCCGACATCTGTCCGATATAAGAAATCGATATCGGGCCGACATAACAACTGATATCGGGCTGATATTGGACCGATATAAAATGTTTGCTGGGTTATGTTTTGTCTTTCTTATTATGCTCTATTTTCTTTATGCCCCTCTAACTTTTTCCGAAATATATGGCTTCAAAATAATTAAAGTTCTAGCTTTATCCGATACTCTATCGATGATTTGATAAATTCACTTTCTTTCGTTTCAATAGCATAATTTTTTTTCTTGGACTACATCATAAGCTAATAATTATATGAGCTATTATTGAGTTCAGCTTCCATAGCTTTCAGAACATGGTGACGGAGTTGTTGGTATTTGCCAGGTACCACATCGTATGAATAAGTATTTTGAATTACACGTCCGTATTGTCTATTTCCTGCAAATACGCAAAAACCTTGTTTGCTCAACTTAAAAAAACGAAGTCCCGACTAACTCTTATTGGATAAATTTTCAACACACAAAAGAAAAGAAAGTCACGTAGAGTAAAGCAAATTCTACTCTATTTAAACGCAGCTATATTTTCACGAGAAGTATGCGTGTTTCCGGACTACGGGGCCAATTTATGTACAGTTATATGACAAATTTTAAACCTTTAGAAGCGTGTAACGTTTATCTCCATTACATCATGTTTATGTTTTATTGAATGCATTGAAACCAATGCAAGTTTTTATATCTATGATTTAAATTATTATTCCACATCCTTTTTTTCACTTTGAATTTTTCGTATATAAGTTTTCAATGGATCTTACTTCGTATACGTAACAACAGTATATATCTCTGTATTCATCAAACTATACATCTGTACAATACCGCGAAATATATTGTTTTTACAAACGCTTTCATACATGTCATATAATAATTATTTGGTCCGATGGACGCAGGAGTATGCTCCTGTCTGAGTAAAAATACTGCAAAAACGTTTATAAGCTCACTATTTGTCTTTGCAACAAACTATAGTAAGCCAGTTTGTTAATTTTTCAACACGAAATATTTGAGAGATTTTTGTTAAAGATGAATGTGAATAACCGTTTGAATTTAGGCGGCCGGACGGATCAGCAAAAAATGCTTAACAATTATGCCCTTCAAATATTTTTACTTTTATTTTAGCGGAAGCTGTAGAGAAAAGTAATGGTGTCTATACTGAGTCGGGAGAAGAAAAGTGCGATTGTATAGATGGAGGATTAAAAAGTAGAAAGGGTGATCAGGCACCAAAATGTACACCAGGTAAATTCAATATATTTTCTGTACTAGATCACTTAAATTACTTAAGTCTTATTAGTTAATCCAGATAAAAGTTTTGACATATACTCGAATAATGGTTTCAGTTAAATTACGTAAATATATTTAAAATGATTGCATGTGTGTGCGTGCGTGTGTGCATGTTATAGATTTTATAGTGAAATTGAAAAATCTCATTATAAAATCCTACAGGTTTCAACCAAACTTGCCATAATTGATCCTCGGGTGAAAAGCTTCACAAAGTTCTTCACAAAATGTTATTCCATTTAGAATTCTGGTTGCCAAACGACCGAAAGGAATAATATAATTGTTTTTTTTTTAAATATCTTGTGTAGTTAAAAAGTCGAAAGCATAGATATTTTGCATTAGGCATTGTCTTGAAGACCACTACCAAGATTGTAACCTTGGGGTCAAAATTAAGGTCACGACTTATAACAAGACAAATGTTGGCTTTCCAGGGATATTTGTAAAATAATGCTTAATTGAAAAGACAGAATCTAAGAATAAATGAAACTGTTTCTCAAAGTTTAATACAACAATGTTAGGCCGCGTCACATTTAGATAAGCTAAATAAATGGCCCATTCAACATATAATCAGGCACAGTTTTTACTGCAATGTCTTATCAAGATTGCCTAGGATTTATACCTTTGTCTTTGCAATACTATTATGATTCTGTAAAATGTGTGAATAAAAAATCGGTGAAATGATGTAATTCGCTAAAAACAATGGAATAAATGAAATGTGTACATCCTCTTAAAATAAATGGAAAGTGTGAAATATATTTTGAGCTTATGAATTGATGCACATTCTTTATTTGATGAAAGTTATTCACCAAATGAAGAAGATAATTAAAGATTCATTTTGAGTCTACTTTTGAAAAACATATCTTTCTTTTCTTTAGCTCTTCTGTGTATCAATGTATCGCTTTGTACCTTTGACCAAGACATTTGTAAACATTTACTGAAACTTACAGTTTATGTACACTGAATCAACAACAAAAACGTCATAAAAAAATAATAAAAATAACAGCACTATAACACCTTCGGGGCACGTGTTTTGTGTCAAACCGGTGTTATCAGTGTCTTTTACAGCCAAAAACCATTGAAAATAAAACGTGTTCTAATTTTCTTGCAAGGAATTGTCTTCATGGATGTCACATAATTTTTCTTTAAAAATGATTTAAGTAGGGTGCCTACATTATGCAAGACAAGAGAATATGATACTTGCCTTCAAGGCTTGAAAAGGTGTAGACGGGGCCTATATTTATAAAGAAAATACCTAAATTTTCAAGAAAGAATATATTTTATTTTGAATCAATTAATATACTACGGACTTTGTTTCTGAACATCAGACAAATCTATACACAATCATGCATTTGACATAAACTTCAAAATTCACTTAACACTACCACATTATGGCAACGTTTAATTGTATGGAAACAAAGGAAAGAAAGTACTTCTGTTTCTATAATTTAGTGTTAAATTTATGCGGCAGTAAAGCATTTTTATACAAATGCAATTCTATTGTTTTTGTTGTTGTTTTTTTGGGGGGAATATTTTTGTTGTTGTTTTGTTTTCAGATCCTTGCAAAGTGCCGCTTGATTTTGACAAACATCTGTCAATATCTGACAAAACACATGCAAGTCTCTCTGGAGGTTTCAAGATATCAAATGGTATTATGTTTTATATGCGCTGTTTTACATTAGCTCAAGAAATAATAATGTTTACCACTTGAACCATCATGTGTTTGAGGTTTACTTAAAGTCACCCTTGTTAACCACATTTGCGATTCCGGAAGTAAGAAGAAATACATTAGTTTATCATAATAGATTTTTCAATTGTGTATATTTATAGAAGAAAAAAGTAAACAATAGATATTCTTTCAACTTGCAAATTAATAAAGCATTCCTAAGGTAAAATTGAATTCATATCTAAAACTTGATAAAACAAAAAAGGATCACAACATTGGAAAGGCATCAATTATTATCCAATATATAACATTAAAACAATTTACGTTCAATATCATAATTGCAATTGCTATGATCAAACTAAACATTCTGAAAGGCCTAACAGTAACTTTAAACACTATGTTTTAAACTGTGCGGTCGATAATATGTAGACACTTTCACGATGGCGGACTGTGCAGGTGTCTCCCTTTTTCATCTGTAACGTTTTTCCTTGAAAATATTTGGTTTCAATACATGTATCGAAGAGTTCATCAAGAACATCTCGAACCTCGGTACCATATAGACATATGCAATTGCATTATGTTTTTAAATGATTCCTGTTGAAATTTTAAATCGAATCAAGGTTCTTGCTCACTTGTGATAATTTATAGTTATGTTGCTATTTTCTTGTAAAAATGAAATATATATTTAAACAATATATTATATGAGTAGCAATTGCTTTTAATTAATTGATTGATTTATGTTTTCTGTAGCAAATATATTTTAAATGACAAAACAAATTTGTTATAACTTCAAAAAGAAAAATATTTGATTTCAAATCACAGCTCAATCTCATACACTTCGGATGAAAAGGAAATAATCAAATCATTTGGTATAGGTACCAATTTAAATGCATCTGAGCTCTTCGGGTAACTTACATATTGTGATTAGATATAAAAAATATTAATTACAAATGGGTTATGATTATAATGACCTATCAATTAATTTTTATAAGATCTTTAAACAAAGTGAAAATGTTGTTTTATGAAAAATCTGATCAAAAGTTCTAGAATAAGGAATTTTAATACTATTTCTTAAATACCTGTCTATACAGGCTTTACAAAAGCTACTTTAATTTGATGATAAGAAGGGAAAGTAAAAAAAATATCGATAGTTTGAGGCAATATTATCGTTAAAATATTATCAGAAATAACCTTACGATCATTTTCCAAGTAATGAATTGTTTTAAAAATTTTGATCATATGATTAAACCAATTTTATGCTATGGATCACAAATATGGGTTTTTGAGTATAGCCAAACTATTGAATAGGTGCATAACGATTTTTGTCGAAAACATTTATCCGTTAAAAAAACTACAAATACAGCTATGGTTTTAGGAGAATGTGGTAAATTGCCCTTAAGTTTTTCGTATATGACAATTTGCATACGATATTTTTGTAAACTTCTGACCATGCCTTTATCTAGATATCCTAAACAGTGTTATTTAATGTTGAAATCACTAGACGTTGTAGGTCGAATATGTTGGTTTACCAATGTAAAACATGTAGGCCTACTGTTTAGATATGGTTTTGATTTTGTCTGGATATCTCAAGAAATTGGTGACACCAATATGTTCCTTAAACTTTTTAAACAAAGACTTATTGATTGTTGTACTCAACAATGGTATGAAAACATAACGAATTCTAGTCGATGTTTTCACTATAATAAATTTAAATCACCTTTTAAATGTTGAACGATACTTATTAATAGAAATACCATTGAAACATAAAAGGCGTTTTGTAATTTTCGTTGCTCCAACCATAAATTTGATATAGAAATAGGCAGACATAATAATATCCCAAGGGAAGAACGTCTGTGTACAACTTGTAATGATAGTATAGATTGTGAATTCCATGCTTTCTTTATATGTAAAAAGTACAAACAAATCCGTGATAAGTATTTATTCAATTGGTATTTTAGCGGAAAAGAACTAAATGATTTTTATGTATTAATAAGTACACGTGATACAACCACATTAAGGAAGCTTATGTTTTATGTAAATGTTTTACTGGATAACATAAACAACTAGTCTTTGTTCACATTTAATAAATATTGTTAAGGTGACGCAACCACATTACAAAATTGTTGTATGTATAATTTGTATTTTTGGCCGGAGGCCTTAGAACACAAATAAAGTTATTTGAATCTTGAACTATTTATTTCCCCCCAATAAACTTTTACAATGTAATCAGAGCGAACTTCCATGGACTAAATAACAACATTTTTAAAATCTCCTTCCAAACACAATTCAACAAAAAATAGTATTAAGAAGTAAGTTTCTTTTCCCGTGTCGTGTCTAAACTGTATAGAAAATAACGTATCAAATCCGCTGTGTGTGAAACTGTTCATGCTGTTTGTTATTAGGAAATCTGATATAATCAAGTAGACTTCACAAAATAGTAATATAAAAACGTGTATACACTACAAAATGTATTTTTTCTCTCCTAAAATGCTGAACATCATGGGGCAGGATGGACATGTTACTGATCATGCTCCCATGCGAATATATGTAAGCTATCTAATAGCTTATATAACCACACAAGTTGTCTACATCATTGCAAGGAACATTTGAAAAATGTTTTCGAGTATTTATAGACATATTTTATTATACATAAAACAACTTCAACAATGAGTTGAAAATGTCTAACCATTACAAACTATACTTAATGGCAATAAAAACGCACGCCCGCACTATATGCATTTTATTACATGAAAACTAAACACGAACGACTCCATTAGATGTATATCATATTTTTGATACAAAACGCAAACTTAACAACTTAAAATAATTCAAAATGTTTGACATCTAATGTACACCAGTAAATCGAAGGAACTAAGGTGAAAATCCCAAAATCAAACTTTATCATCACAGTAATGCAAACTTAACAAAGGCAAAAACTAAAATGAAAATCCAAAACAAAGCCACTCATAAATGTCTATTCGTAATGTCACCGTCGGGATCTTTAGAAACGACAATGTCCGTCATCAGCGTCTCTTACATATGTACATCGTCGCCTCATAGACGTTGCCTGTGGAATCTGACGCCATTCGGCCTGTAGTGTAGTGCGAAAACGCTGGTGAAGCCAAAATATTGTAGACCGATAGATGCCAAAACGGTTGGCGCTTTGTTTGTAAGATAGACCAGGCTGAATCTGTCCTAAATCTACCCAGCGGTTATTTCTTTGTAGCACCATTCATACAATTTGCTAGCCAGTCTTCAATAGTGTTTGAAATTTAGCATCTTTTATAGAGTAAACGTGTGTATATGCAATTTCCATGTGAGGTTTTACGATTTCTAAAACTGACCATTGGCATAGTTAATATTCATTTCATAAAGATTTTAATTGCTCATTTGTGTCTTACATTTCTAGAAAGGTGTGAAAAACAAGTTAAAAATTAAAAGTTAAAAAAATAAATAATTTCATTTCATAAAGTAATCATGAATTGGTTCAATCTGTTTTTCTGTTTTGATCTTATTACAATTAGCCCAAAGTGTTACTTTTAATTTTTCGGGTACTGTATTTATCATGCAAGAACTTCATTAAAATGCAATCATTTTTCATCATAACTTTGATATCTAAATGACCGGAATGCATTCGGTTTTATGAAACTGTGAAAATATATTTAAAAGAAATATATTTTCCTTGTCAAAATGCAATTATCCCGACCGTGCGTTTTCATTGTCCTTAAGTATACATTGAAACTATAAGCTTATTTAACAAATTGTAATTAAGAACAATTCGAAGTTCTAGATTCAACTTAAAATCTTACAAATTGTCAGTGTTTAGGGCGAGATATCTCAAAACAATTGAAAATTTATACATAATGTATAGTACAGAGATCAGACACGTTCTTTATGAACATTTTTCTTTAGGTATAATGGTCAGATATATTCACGAAAACATATTATAGATGAAAATATTACAAGACTCCTACCTTTCACACTTTTGACAGTACCCTATCTTGAAAGTGTCATCACATTTACCAACAAAGTGTTTAATGAATACTGAAATCTCTCCTAATCGACAACGCCCGCTTTCATCCATTGCATTCAGCTGCAAGGTTTGCTAAAAGCGATAAATGACCTAATTTATTTTGGGTCAAAAGGTCAAAGCTCGAGGTTACAATTATTTATTGGATTATGCTTCATGATCAAAAGTACAAAGCACAATCATTTTTAGCTCGGCTTTTTTTCAAAATTAGCTCGACTTTTTTTTTTTAAAGTAGAGTTTTGTTAGAGTCCTGGCGGAGTTGCCGTTGCCGTCCGCAAACTTGTACCTGGATCATAACTATTAAATTTCTTGGTGAACTGTCTTCATTATTGGCCACAACAACCCTTGGGACAAGACCTTTCAGTAGACCACACTAACCTGGACCTTTATCCATAATTGACCTTGACCTTCAAGGTCAAAAATCCAAATTTTGCTTGTTCTTGCTATTATTGGCTGTAACTTTGTTATGTTTAAATGGATTGTCTTCAAACGTTAATAATAATCTTCAAGAATAGCCCTTTAAAAAATAGTCAGACCTTTAAACTTCACTCATTAATGACCTTGACTTTGAACGTCAAATTCATTTTTTTGGCTATTATTGGCTGAAACTTTGTTATTTTTGAATGGATTATCTTCAAACTTGGACATAATAATCTTTAAGGATAGCCCTGTAATATAACCAGACAGACCATGACCTTCACTCATAAATGACCTTGACTTTGAAGGTCAAATTATTGAAAATTTTACTTTTTTGGCTATTATTGGCTGTAACTTTGTTATTTTGAATGGATTGTCTTCAAACTTGAACATAATAATCTCTAAGGATAGCCCTTTAAAGTTACCAGGCAGGCCATGACCTTCACTCATAAATGACTTTGACTTTGAAGGTCAAATTATTGAAATTTTCATTTTTTTGGCTATTATTGGCTGTGACTTTGTCCTTTTTGAATGGATTGTCTTCAATCTTTAACATAAAAATCTTCAAGGATAGCCCTTTTAAATAACTAGACAGACCTTGACCTTCAGTCATAAATGACCTTGACTTTGAAGGTCAAATTATTGAAATTTTCATTTTTTGGGCTGTAACTGGCTGCTATTATTGAACGGATTGACTTCATATTATAACAGAACATTCTTAAGGACAAGACCTACATGTTTATCAAACTCAAATTGACCTTGGCTCTTTCATGACCTTGGTTAAGTTTAATTTTTTTGAATTTTCACTGATTTGTGCATTAAATGACCATATATAGGTATTGGTGTATATAAATGCGTATATATATAAATGCGTATATATATTTTCTTCTTCTGTAATACACATGGGCATATATCTGGAAAGGATTCATACTTTGACAAAACTAGTGTGACAAGACAGACCAATTAAATTTTTAAAAAAAGGAAACGTTAAGATTTGTTCAAACGTTTCTTTGTTTGCTTTTAGAAAAAGTAAAACGTCGAGCGTTCCCCCGCCCGACGGTGGCTCTTGTTCTGTTATTGATGTAGACGATATATATCATAACACGTAATTACATATATTTTTTAGCAAATTGTGAACCAAATTGTGAAAATGGTGGTATTTGCTGGAAGGATGGTTATTGTAGATGCAAGCATTTAACATCTGGAAAACGTTGTGAAAAAGGTAATGATGATGATTTTGGATGAATTTTGCGAGATAAAGATATAAATGTCGACGTACACTATACCCGGTAGTGCATTCTTTTTGTGTACGATATAGCTTCATTCTTCTTTTAAATTATGATACCATATGGATATAAAATATCTTAAACCACTCTTTAGAAAAAAAACCCATATCCGAACGAGTTCTTATTCAGAAATTCAAGTTACGAACATATCTTTTTTGAACAAATTTTCCTGTTTTACATTTTACAAAAAAAATTTTTTTTTTTAAAAATTTTTTTTAATTTTGTTAAATTTAATGGGGGAAAAAAAATTTCTATCAGGTTTTTATTGTGATATTTTTTTTTAATCTTTTTTAAACACGGGCCAATGTTTTTTAATTTTATGTTTTTTGGGGCTTTTCCTTTTTCAAATAAAAGTTATATGTGACGAAAAAATTTTATGCTAAAAAAGGGCGAAATGCTTGGTCCGGGTGAATTTTAAATGCCCAAAAGGGGAAAAATAGGGAAAGCTCACTGTGAACAACGAAATTAATATTTAGGAAAAAAAGGCATCTGAAAAAAATTTTGAAATTTATAGAAGAAAAATTATAAGATAAACCCAAAAACACTGATTGACCCCCTTTTAATTTTTTCATTGTATTTTTGGGGAATGTTTTGAGGTTATCCAACCTTTTTGCCCTGACTTATACGTTAAATAAGGGTTATAAAAAAGGGAAAAACCAAAAAAAATTTTTAAAAGCATATTTTAGAATATGCATGTAAAAAGAAGAAAAACATTTTTCGAGGCAGTTTTTAAACAGTTCTGGTCTCTTTGAGAGGGAAAAAATACTTAAATTTTACTTATTACATTTGAATAGGTTCCTGTAGGCTTCCTGAGAATAAAGATATGGCGAAAGTATCCACACAAAAAACCTATTTTGCTATTGGCGAAACAGTTCGCACTTTTACGTGTGGTTTTGGTCTTTTTCCATCATCTGACCAAGGAATGACATGCCGAAGTGATGGATTCATGGTCAGATATAATAACATGTGACAAGGGTATTAATAAAAAATTTATATTTTGTTTTAATAAAAAAAATGTGTCCTAGAGCCATACAACCACCTATCCATCCATCCATCCATCCATCCATCCATCTATCTACATATTGTTTGAAAATTACTGTTTTAATATTTATTTAGATTTTTTCTCTAAAATATCTGCATGTAACCAATATCTATGTATATTTCCTAAAGTTGGAGTGGTACATGCATAACCAAAGTGCACAACGGTTACAACTGTACTAAAGATAGCATAAATTGAACGATTATTTCTCCCGGAAAATTTTATTCTAATATAACAAATTCCATTTGTGTTAAATAACCGAGAGAGTCTTTGAAACAACCATTTCCAGAATCGAACATAAAACTATTGACAACATTTTTTTACCGTTTACTAACTTAATCAATATAAACAGTAGATATGATTTTACCATTTATTTACTTCTATTATGTACCTTGTGTTTTACTTATATTATAATTATACTCTATATCTGAGATCTCTGCATAAGATATAAAATATCATTTCATTCCATTTATTTTGTTTCATACTTTAATCAAATGGTATGTATTAGTTTTATTACACATATCTTCTAATGAAGATGCATTCAACACGCCATATTGAAGTCGTATAAAATACTGAGTAACGGCGGTAACACCCTCTTGAATCTCAAAAAAAACAACAAACAATTAATTATATCCGAAAGCTACGGGTTATACTACAAATTAATCGATTCATTAGGGTTTGTAATCCTTAACAACATATCATCCTGCATTATCTAGAGGGCAACAGACCAAGATTTAAAACCTTTTAATTTATATCTATGACAATTAATTTTAATTCTTCAACTGGATGTGACGTTATGTTATTTTAATACGACTGGTATTCCTTAATTTATCCAGTCAAGATAATTTTATTTTTCACTTTAAAGGTATTGTTATTATACAATACCAGAAATAGATGTGCCAACATATGTCCTTTTTATTAAATGGTTACAGAATATGTGCTGGTAATATAAACGTACTTATATTTTAATATCGTTAAGTTATCACGACCATCAAATAAATCGCTATATCTTAGACAAAGTCAATGTGTATTTATTGAATAACTAAATATTTTGAAGTTATTATGCAATTTTTTTTACTCTGTGATAAGGTAAAAATTACCTGATCAGTACGAAAACGGGAGAACGTTTCGGTGCCGGTACAAATGCCAATGTTTACATTACTCTGTTTGGCTCAAGAGGAAGTACAAGAAGAATAAAATTGATGGGGAATTTTGAATCTGGTGATGTCGACGAGATCAGAACATTTGCCAGAGATGTAAGACCAGTAAGTATCATAATTATTTTTGATGATTTGTTAATAAAAAATTAAACTAAAACTTAAAGTGTTGTAAAGAGTTTTTTTAGTTCTTGTTTATTTGTATAATACAAGTTATGTCTTTTCTTTTATTACTCTATAGTTTTATGAATTTGAAGAAAAATGTTCATTTTAATTTTCCATCCCTTTCCCCGTTTTGATTTATACATAACAATGTTATCAAGGATCTCTCACATTTTTATTTTAATACGTTTTGTAGATACAAAGTGTACAGATCGGACATGATGGTGGAAGCTGGCATGATATCTCAACTGATTGGAACCTGGAATATGTATCAATATATGTTGAAGATATGGAGGAATTTTATGTTTTTAGAAATATTAAACAGCAATGGGTGATGGAAGGAAATGATCTGACCCTGGGGAGGGAAGGTAAATTTTTAACTAGATTATAAAAATATAAGGCATTTAGACATGATTTTATTAGCCTATTCCTATGATGATTTTCTGCCGGTGAATATCACATTATATTAAATAATTGTTTTATTATATGCAAATATTTTTAAAAGTAAATCTTTTTAAGAAAATACAAAACGCAACTTGTGCCTGTTTTCATTGAAGCGCGGGAAAAAGGACGCACTGTGTACAATATGGCGTCAGGCGCTCATCGAAGTTCTACGCAACAAAAGTAATTCAAATTTATACACAACATTGCGGTGCAACTTCTTACTATTATAATGAAGTATGGATATTTTAATTCAGAAATCTGCCATGTAGAACGAAACGCAACATTTAGTTTTTTTATACGCACGCGCAAAAAAAAAATGTTCACGATATAAGGATATATAGTATGAGCCTCAATCTATTGTTAGGTTGGGAAAACCTAATTCAGTCAGTGAATATAATTTTTCACACAGTGAATATGAATTTATAAATAGTGCTGGTTTTTGGACCAATGAGATTTCTGCTACATTTAAGTCAAAATGACTGTTTACTGCCAATCCTTTTGTAACGCTTTTGCATTTGTCGTCAATAACGTCGCGTCATTTTTTCGCTTCCTCGCCCGCTCCCTTCTTGTCTGTGATCTCGTCGAATTGCTTGCGCCAGCTAAAAGCGATTGTCCCGATCGCCTCTTAGTTGCCCTGTGGTAATTTAATCTTTACGTAAGTAGCTGAAGGGATTTGTCCAATGAATTGATGAATTTAACGATCGCACGATTTCAACGTTCAACATATTTCTAGACCACCGTTGTTCAAAACTTGATAATGTAGCCATTTCATGTCTGAATAATATTAAATTTAGACATATTGTCATTTAAACTATATTGATAGTGTTTTTTGCATTTATGTAAAAACAACAAATTATGAATGCAATAGAAGTACAACTTTGTTTCAAAAACATTTAGATGTCTTGTGCCGGTGTACGTTACCATGGTTATTCAATATCACAGGGAACACACGTTTAACACAATCATTATGTAATATTCTCCTCTAATTGTGGAAAACAATTAACGTCTGCAGCAAAAAGGAAAATATCGTAAATTCAAAGAAATTTGAAGATGCAAGAGACATATGGGATATTGAATGAGTGTAAATTTGATACTAAATTTATTGAACGAGTAGAAGAAAATTATATGAAGCCAGCCTCTTCAGTATACTGTTCAATGGAGTCAGTTTTCGTTTATAATAATATTTTTATTATACTATAATCATAATCACTGGGTGAAGTATCATATTTACTGGCTAAATATGGTTTTCCAAATCTAAAAATAGATTGAGACTCATTTTCAATGAGACTACGCATAAAAAGATAAGTTTCGCGTTTTGTTCTTTATGCCATAGTTCTCGATTGAAATAAAATAACTTTACTATAATAGAATAAAAGTTTCACCGCATTGGTTTATGGGCCTGAGACTTAATTTATTTTGTTTGCACAGCGTTCACGTAGTCGCTGAACGCCTGACGTAAGCTTGTTTACAGTGCTTTTTTCCCGTACATCAAAGAAAACAGCCAACCAAGGTGTATTGCTATTTATTTTTTTTTTTTTGGAGTGAGACTAAAAAAGAATTGGAGCACCACACTTAATACCGTATTCCGGTATATACCGGGCAAGGCGCTTGAATCATAAAATGCTAAAATCTTGCCTTTTTACGCAACGGAATGAACTTTAATAGGTTTTATTCATCTTTTCACACCGATTTATGTATGATAATTAATGAAAAATGTAAAAATCGGCGGAAAAAAAACGATATTTGTCTATTTTGTGATCATGATTTCTGCAAGCGTCTAGAGGTACATTTGTACATGTACTGCTCCAATCCTGTATTGAGTTTAATCCGTTTTTTTCCCTTTAACAGGCTTTATTTTTGTGAGTGTTTTTTTTTGCATATTCATATAATAAAACAATTATTGACAAGTGAGCCATAAAATATGATGTGATATTAACCTGCAGAAAATCATGTCATCTGTCAGTGAATATCACTTCATATTCAGTGGCACACCAGTCAATAATGTTAAATAATCTATGAAACATTAATAAATAATCATAATATTTTAAAAAACATTATATAAAAGTCTATGAAACACAATACTATAGCCTATGAAACATTAAGTTAAAGACTTTGATACATTATGAAAAGCCTATGTCATGGAAAATTTTGTAGTAGCCTGTGATTAGCATTATATTATAATCTATGAAACTTAAATGATGTTCTATAAACAAAGCATATAAGCCTATGAAACATCATGAAATAGCCTATGAAATACCATATGATAGCCTTTTAAACAATTAAACAAAATTACCTTTTACCACCTAATTTTGAAACGACGAGTTTCTTTTCTGTTTCCCTTTTTCAAGTTTTAGCAGAAATGAATATCCAAATTTTTAAAACAGGCATTCGTCATATTCTTAAATAAACATAAACAAGTATCTAATTGTTGATTTCTGAGTACGTTTTACGTTGAAGCTTCGGAAATATCGGAACAAAACAGACGTAATATCAGGATATTCTACTGAAAAAAAACAATAATTTTCCCATGATAATCTTTTGCATATTTCAGGGAAGCAATCATGCATCAACACATTCGGCGAGAAATATATGTGGTATCCTAAATGGGAGAAAATAAGCTCTTTTCGCCTTGGCGGAGGGCTAGGGATGACTCGTAGATTGTGTAAACAAGCTTGCATAAACTGGAGTAAGAACGTGTGTAACGGAGTCTATCGTGATACAAAGCATCATGGTTGCTACGGTTTCTCTGAAACGCGTGATGAATACTTTACCGTGAAAAAAGAACCTTGGCATGGAGAACTGTTTTTCAGAACATGTAATTAGTTCTATTGAAGGAATTTTACTATACAATTGTCGACATGTCTTATTTTTGATAGGTCATGTTTCAAATTATTGTTTCTATGTCTTATATTTCAGAGGAATGGAATTATCAAAAAAAGAAAAATATTGTTTATATTGTATTTACTTATTAGTTTTAAAGCAGCACGCCTCCAAATTCATACTAATTTTCATAAAAATTGTGAAAATGTATTTGAATGTGTAATATTGTGAAGAAACCAAAAGGAAGCAATTCACACATTATCAATGGCACTTACAAACCATGTTAATTACCAAAATGTGGTCGAAATATGCATAAACAGTCAGTAACGAAAAACCTTATGGAATCTTTACAAGTAATCAATTTAAAATCATTTGCTGAAAATTAAAACATCTTTTTTATCACAACATACTAAAAGTAGACAAAAGTAAAACTAAATTGATCATACATGTAATTAATAAGCAGTTATATTGGAGAAACTAAGCACAGTGTTTGATTAAGCACTGAGAAATTTTCTTTGGCAAAAAAAATTACTTTACTTTTATATATTTAAAAATTACGTTGCTGTGGTACTGCCTTACTAACACATTATAAATATTGTGACCATAGCTGCCAAATCATTAATTGATGACGCATAACATGCAAGTTATTACTTGCATCCTGAATCTGTTTTACTTTTTTCCAAAATCTGATTCAATTTTTCTCAAGTTTAATTTTCTTCAAATGTAACAACTTTTCTGGAGGCATGTAGCTTCCAGTACAGTTGTTAATTATTATTTTTAGAACATCTTGTCTTGAATCATCTTGCGGCTCATGGTCGAATGAGAAAAGTAGTTTTTCTTTTCTTATTTCATTTATTCACTTATTAAAAAGAATTATTTTCTATCTAAAAACATCATTTTACAATTTCTTTCTCTGTTGACCTCAGTAATTGCTTAAGCCTAATCATGATACATTACCCATCTGTTACATTGACAATAAACAATGCATTCTCTCTCTATATTTCCAAATGCATTTTACAATTCATTTCGCAACAAATTTAATGTTTTCTGCCAAGAAAAATTGTAAACGAAAATTAAATTTAGAAATGCATAAAGATAGCATAATATAGGGAGCAGTGTGGCAATATCGCCAAAAGATAAAGGCATCGGACTAGTTATCTAAGGATTGCTGGTCGCGTGCGCTCAAAACCTGTAAGGGGCAACCGTTGTTTCCTTAAAGGTCAGTGGGCATCACATTTGCGTACTAAGTGTTACATTTGATTGTTTATTTTTCATAATTTACCCATCGAATTATCGGTTATTGCTCTAGTATTGCCCTAACAGAGCACGGTATCACACAGATGTAAGAGTTGCTAGTTGCTGCTCGGTATGCCGGTGCGATCTAAACCGGAAGTGACATACATATATATCACCGTCAGCAAAATACCAGAGTATTCCCGACGGACACACCTATACCCGCGGACACCCGGTCAGACCCCCTAACCATCCCACCATGTGCGGTTCTGCGTAATTGAGTCTGGTCCCAACAGGGGCCAGCCGGAATTGGCCAGATATGAGCTGTCTAGAACGATTTTCGGCTCACTGTCGGCAAAATACCACAGTATTCCCGACAGACACACCTATACCCGCGGGCAACCGGTCAGACCCCCTAACTATCCCACCATGTGCGGTTCTGCGTAATTGAGTCTGGTCCCCACAGGGGCCAGCCGGAATTGGCCAGATATGAGCTGTCTAGAACGATTTTCGGCTCACCGTCGGCAGAATACCAGAGTATTTTCGACGGACACACCTATACCCGCGGACACCCGGACACACAATGCACGACTCATATATTTTTCAATCTGCTGTCGGATTTTTTTAATCAATTGTAGCCTTGGTTTCTGTTTTTTCTGGCTAGCCGTAATGGCTGGAGATCGTTGTGATAAGTAAATTGACATTATACATTATGGAAGGTCTTTCAAAGGTCTTTTGCACAGGTTTTACCGTATCATCTCTTGACAGCCTGTATAGCCGGACTCGGATTCCGGCTAGCCGGAGTAGCCAGTACAGCCGGAGTAGACGAAAATGAGTTCCGGCTGCTCTGGCTGTCCGGCTAACTTCAAAAACATGATTTTTTTTTTGATGCAACTCTAGTCATGCAAAATTCCGTATGTATCAAACTCAAACTGTTATAGTAAAAAATATAAACGCAGTCGCTGCATCTCGCCCTGCAAGATGAATTATAATATATAACAGGAAAATATATTACTTATTATACAAATTGCATCCGTTATTGGTGTAAGCTATTGGTTATACCACCATGCCGTTACCCAAAACAATGTTATTTAACGTTAAAATCACTAGATGAAGCTGGAAGAACTTCTTGGGCTAGCAAATACGAATACTTCTGTACAGTTACGGATTTGGTTACATTTGGATTTCTCAAGAAATAGGAGATGTGAATATTTTTGTTAGCATTTTTAAACAACGCATAATAGATTGTTATACTCAAAATTGGCATGATAATATTAACAATGCCAGTAGATGTCACCATTATTGTTATTTTAAAAGCTTATTAAATGTAGAACGGTATCTTCTAATAGAAATCCCTGTAAAACATAAGAAAGCATAATGCTTAATTTCGATGATCAAATCACAAACTTAATGTTGAAATCGGTAGGCATTTAAATATACCTTTTCAAGAACGCTTTTGCAACTTTTGTCTTGAAAATCATTCATCTTATCATATTGACTGTGAATATCATGCTTTTTTTTCATTGTAAAAAATATTTAGAAATTAGAAATACCTATTTAGTAAACTGGTATAATTCCGGAAATAAACTACATAACTTTTTAGCTCGACTATTCGAAGAATATGAGAGCTATTGTAGTCGCCCCGGCGTCGGCGTCCGCGTCGGCGTCTGCGTTGGTTAAAGTTTTTTGTAAAGTCAAATATCTCAATTATTACTTGAGATATTCAATTGAAACTTACAATACTTATTTATAGTAACAAGGTACATCAGATTGACAAGTTGGATAACTCTGCCTACAATATTGACAGAATTATGCCCCTTTTTAACTTAGAAATTTTGGTTAAAGTTTTTTGTAAAGTCAAATATCTCAATTATTACTTGAGTTATTCAATTGAAACTTACAATACTTATTTATAGTAACAAGGTACATCAGATTGACAAGTTGGATAACTCTGCCTACAATATTGACAGAATTATGCCCCTTTTTAACTTAGAAATTTTGGTTAAAGTTTTTTGTAAAGTCAAATATCTCAATTATTGCTTGAGATATTCAATTGAAACTTACAATACTTATTTATAGTAACAAGGTACATCAGATTGACAAGTTGGATAACTCTGCCTACAATATTGACAGAATTATGCCCCTTTGGAACTTAGAAATTTTGGTTAAAGTTTTTTTGTAAAGTCAAATATCTCAATTATTGCTTGAGATATTCAATTGAAATGTAAAATACTTTTTTATAGTAACAATGTACATCAGTTTGCAAAAAAACAGTTTGCATAACTCTGCCTGCAATATTTGCAGAATTATTTGCCCCTTTGAAACTTAGAAATTTTGGTTATAATAATAAAGCAGTGATTTACTTGATAAAACATCTGAATAACAAGCCTTTGTACCTTGTCTGTCAAATTTATGTAATCTGGTAATAGGTAATTAGTATTATTATACTCTATAAAACACCCTTGTGACATTACCTTTCGAATAGTCAAGCCAATACTGTATAATTAGACTCTCTGTAAGGCCTATAACATGAATTTATAAAAAAAAAATTGCCCTTTTGTGAACTTAAAAAAATTAACATTATCAAGGCTCTTTTACTATCAAGCACTAAGAATAGTCGAGCGTGCTGTCCTACAGACAGCTCTTGTTATGAATTACTTTCATCAAATGATATTTTTATAATTAAGAAAATCTCTACTTATATTTACCACCTCATGATATCTATAGCACAGTAGCATTTAAATGTAATGATTGTCAAAACTTGTAAAAGACACAACCTTATAATGTTAAATACCATATTTTGTATGACATGTATTTTGGGCCGGTGGCCTTTATTTACTGAATAAATCTTTTGATTTGACTTGACTATATAAAGATATACAGTACGATTTAGATTGCAAAGATCAGAAAATACCACAGAGCTTACAGCCCTTTGATTGCAAATGGTTGCAGAAAAAAGAGAATTAGTAAACCCAAACCTAAATCTAAAGGCCTCAAAAGACGGTAGGATTTAGATGTACAGCACTAATTAGAGATAAGATGTACAATTTTCAAAGCTATACAACACTTGCATTCAGACGGTAATTCTACACTGTAAGAATCATCTGAGGTTTCCATTAAAAAAGGTCCCTTTACATTGATCCTTTAACATACTTTACTCACTTAATATTTTTTTTTGCCATGAGTAATGATTGTAACACCTCCATTTAAAAAAAAATATATATTATATTTTTTAATGTGAAGCCTGACCGAGACTCAAACCAGGGACCTCGGAATACCGTACTGCGGCTCTAAAAAT